CCACCGCCCAGCCAATCACGGGCCGGCAGAACACAATGACCGAAAATCCACTCGCCAAAACATCGGGGAAGAGTCGAAAGACATCAGCTATTGCATCCCAGTCGCCATTCCATTTCCCAGCGCTCCGGTATCTATCGAACGCCATACACAGCCGTCTGCTAGCACAATGGCTTCTACAAAGGCTGTCTCCAGGCTTCTGGCCTACAGACGGCCAGCCCTCGCACAGATATCCTCCCAGCACTCCTCCCTTCTTCGGCCCACGACGGCCAGCGTCCTGATTCCTGCGTTCGCCTTTTCGACCTCGTCCCCTCGATCTGCTAGCCCTGCTGGCCCTCCTCGACAAGGCTTCCGTCTCCCGCCTCCCAAGGCCTGGGACCAGGACAATGAATCCGCTCTTGATAAAGCCGGAAAATACTTCCTCTTGGCGGAGATGCTTCGGGGCATGTATGTTGTGTTGGAGCAATTCTTCAGACCACCGTATGTATAACCTTCTATGCACTATATATCTCTGCCCTGATATATATATATATTTAATTTCCTGGGGACTCTATTTATTACATGACTATTCATCATCATATCCCCGTTGGGAATAACTTATTGATTTCTTAATTCAAAACTCCCCGGATAAAGCCAAGGAGATATATCGCGCTAACCCTCCTGTAGATATACCATCTTCTACCCATTCGAAAAAGGTCCCATCTCCCCCAGATTCCGCGGTGAGCACGCGCTACGCCGATATCCTTCAGGCGAAGAACGCTGTATTGCCTGCAAACTATGCGAGGCCATCTGCCCTGCCCTTGCCATCACGATCGAGGCCGAAGAGCGCGAGGACGGAAGCAGACGGACCACCCGCTATGATATTGATATGACAAAATGTATATACTGTGGCTTCTGCCAGGAGAGCTGCCCTGTCGATGCTATTGTTGAGTGTGAGTATTTTCTCCCCCTTAACGTAGCCTACGCCCCTCAAAACGAGAAACGATATAATATATATATCCGGGTTCCATGATTCACCAACCCTGAAAAAAAAAATGATAATCAAAGGGTAAAAGAGAAGTCACAGTTAACTAACTCTTTTTTCCATCAAAAACAGCCCCCAACGCCGAATACGCGACAGAAACTCGAGAAGAATTGCTGTACAACAAGGAGAAACTGCTCGCTAACGGCGACAAGTGGGAACCGGAACTGGCTGCTGTCGCAAGAGCTGATGCCCCCTACAGATAAAACGCGAAAGAGGAAAGTGGAATGGGGAATGGGGTAGGCGAACGCGGTGGGAACCCGAATTCAACAGCCGATATCTAGGAGCTGCACATGATATCAGCAGAAAAGACACATTACACACATGAAGATCATTATTTCCTTTTTTTCCCTAATCCTTTTCGTTTTAACTTGTTAACAGACAGAATCCTGCAATATCAATGTACTTGTACATATTTATTTACAGATGTGTGATATGAAACTACCCATGCTATGTTTTGGTGCAAAACAAACAAAGAGAGGTGGGCAGTAAATATGCTGTTGTATGTGTGCTATCCTCTATGTACAGTATGACTACTGTACATCTCAAGGCGTTTAGCTAGTTGTTCAATCTACTGCCGCGCGCCGCATTCTCTTGTATGGTGTCTCTATTTCACATTATGTTCGTAGAAACTTGATGATATTTGAATTTCCATACTCAAGAATCCGATTTAATTGTCATTGAAGAAAAGTGATGTATTCACTGCTGAGAACAGAGAAGTAACTAAGATGTCCCCTTTATTATGAACCCAATATTACTTGCCTCTGAGCCACTCTTTAATAAAAACTGTCAAGGGGGGTAAATATGTGATGTGCTGGCTTAAAATCTATAGTTGACCTTACCTACAAAGGTAGTGTAGAAGAGTGTGAGGAAGAAAGGAGGAAGTGAGAAATGAGATGAGGAAGAAGCTGAAGAGTAAGACTGTACATGCAATAGAAAAATACGAGAATGAAATCTATATAGCCTTGGAAGTGGGAAACACCGTAGGCATAGGATGGTGATGACGGATACCACTGAAAGCAAAAGCAAAGCAAGACAAGAAGAAAGAATAGAACTGAAAAAATAATACGGATAGATTAATTGATAAAAACCCCTCGCCATGAATGAAGAAAAACAAAACACCGATTTACATACAAAAAAGAAGTCCAGACAGAAAATTGAGATATAAAAGGAAAAAAAAAAAAAACAGAGGTATATTAGCCGGACCAAACCGCTTCCAATTCAAACCTTCCCCCCCCCCCCCCGTCCCTACCTCACTCCTTTACAAAACCCGGGTAAACAAGACCACGTTCATTCATTCCACTCATTCACTTCTTCTTCGCCTTAAACCCGCCCTCAAACCCAGGCCTCTTCTTAGCACCCGGAGTCTTCTTACCACCCCCCCCCTTCTTCTTCCCCCCCTTACTCCCCTTCTCCTCCCTCCTCTTCCTCAAATTCTCCTCTCTCTTCTTCTGCCTCATCTCCTTCCCCTTAATTACCCCTTCAATCCTCTCCTTCCACTCCTTCTCACTCTCTTCTTCATTCCGTCTTGCGATTCAACGTCTTCTTTAACAGCGATACATCATCCTTCACCCGCTCGCCATGCGCCCGCTTCTTCGCGTTTAGCCACATGTCCTTCTCTTCAATGTTGGCTCGCTTGGCCTCGTCCAGTCCCTCCAACCGCGCCTGTTTGGCCTCGAGCGCTTTCAGCGCCGTCTGCGCATCCTGCGGGCCCTTGCGCTTCTTTTCATCAACGAGGGTGCTGAGGCTAGGATCCGCCTGCTGGCCGTCGGCGAATACGACGCGGCCGAAAGAGAAGTTGGTTGGGATCGAGGAGGTGGAGTCTGCTGGGGAACGTGGAGAGGCGAGTAATGAACCAGAGCCACGAGGGGAGAATCGTCGTGCAATGGCCTCGTCACGCTTCCTCTGCTCCTCCTCTCGTGCCTTTTGGCGGAGTTCCTTTTTATGGGCTTTGCGCTGTTCTTCGCGCTGCCGTCTGGCTTCGATGAGCTCTTGGCGGTTGCGGGCGGGTTTACCGTTGAAGCCATCGGCGCGGCGGGCAGCTCGTAGTTCTTCTATGCGCTTTTGTAATCGCTGCTTGAGTTCTTCTGGGGTTAGGCTCTTAGGTTTTTTAGTGTCGTCGTTTGAGGATTGTGTGGTGGTTGATGATTTTGTTGCGGTGTCGGAAGGGGCTACGGGTGGGGCAATGGAGGAGATGGAGGAAGATCCGGATGGTGGGTTGGAAGGATCAAATGGTTGTGAGTTAGGGTCCGGCGATGATGGAGCTGTGGATGCCGGTTCTGCGTCTTCGGTATCTTGTAGAGCCGAGAATCCTTCTACAGGAGCAATGTCTTCATCTACTTCTTCAGCATCGTAAACATTAGGTGCTCCATTGAGAGTAGGCTGGTGGCACTTCAGTTGGTTTTGGTCTTTAGAAGTGTCCTCATCCGCGCTCTCCTTGGAATCTCCTTGTGCATTTGACTTGGCCGTCTTTTTCTTTTCCAACTTGGCCGCTGCTTTCAATTTCTTCTGTTCCTTTTTTGCGGCTTTCTTCGCTGCTTTCTCTGCCTGCCGTTTCCTGCGGGCCTCTACATTTTCATTTTCATCCTTATCTTTAGTCTGGTCCTCTTCCGATTTCTCTCCCTTTTTTTGCTTTTTTTGCTTCTTCTGACCACGAACAAGGCCCTCCCTAGGTGCTTCTGTTCCTAGCTCTCCATCGTCGTCATCGCCATCGGAACCTGGCTGTGCTTCTTCTCCTTCATCTTCCATTCTCTTCCTCTTTCTGGCATTTTCGTCCATTACATCTTTTGCAGTTTTCGAGGAATCAGGGTCGAGCTTGGCACGTTTGGCATTTCGAGCCTCCTCCTTTGTTTGCTTCTTGCGCTGCCATTGATCCTATAGTTCAAGAAAAAGGGAATAGAATAAGCGGATGTTCTATGTTCGCTTCCCTGGGATGGGCCGGAAAAGATGCCCAGGTGCTCCGCGAGGCCTACCGTTGTATCTTCTCCGTAGTAATATTTTGCAGGAATCAACGACAGTAATCCATCAAAGGCCTGAGCATGGCTTCGGAGCCGTTCCTACATATAATATCACCAGCATTAGTTACCCACCTGGCATACACTATAAAATTCAAGGCTGGTAGAACTTAAATAGTAGATAGAGGGAAGGACGCAGAAGGGAAAAAAAAAAAAAAGGCCAAGCTAACCTCAATACTGTCCGCCATTTCCGACAATAAGAAAAGGAATCCGACAAAAAGACAAGCAGGTAGCAAGAGAATGCCTCTTTCTCGCTGGCAGAGGTCGATGGCGAGGAAGTCCAATCGACACGTCGCTGGTCTCCAGGCTCTGCTGGCTGCGGACTGAAATAATTTGCGAGGGCGTAGAAAGGTGTGGGGGGGGAGGGCGAAATCTTGGCGCTGCTCTTTTTCTCGGTTAAATATTTCACATAATCAACCACACGACGCTAGACTCAACCGTCGTGATATTTTTACCATGCTTTTATTTAATAATAATATTAAAAAATGCATACCTATTTAATAGGATTCTATGAAGAAATTGTTGGTAGTTGCTTGGCTACTGCAGTCACATGTCGCACATTCTATGGAATATATGAAAATCTCACTAGATAACTATATTATAGGGCTGCCGTATCGACTTTTAGGCTACAATGGAGCCTAGCAAGGCATCCATCCAAACCACCGGCCGTTGCGTACAACTATTTGACTTGGAATAGGTGATTGCGGGACCTCTTTGTTCTTCTTAGATTCTCACTGTGTCCTCTAGCAGCCGAAAGCACCTTGAATTTCAGTGGAGAATTGTTGGGAGCCTGGAAATATCTCCAGACCGGACCGACCGGCGTCACTAGGTTCGACCCCGCTTCGCAAGCTCTCTTGACAAAAGTGAGATATATATATGAGGAAATGGGACCCGCTTCAAATTGACTGAGGCTTGAGATCTGTTCTAAACTACCCCCGTCATCGCCGTTTCTCCTTCGATTTGTCAAGATGGTAGAAGTTATCCCTCAGCTCCCAACTGAACTATGGGCTCGCATCGCATCCTTTTGTGATCGAACAACGCTCGAGAGCCTTTGCCTCACCTCTCGTGGATGCTCGAGGTTTGCGGCTCGGGAGCTTTTTAGGGAAGTGAGGCTCAACGCTTCCGACTCCAGCTGTGCGAGGTTGGAGCAGATACGAGCACACGAGCGATTAAAGCAATACGTGAATAAAATCAACCTAGGCCTTTGCGGTTGGTCGCCTGTAAGTTGGAACCGCTGAATCCTATTTTTGCTCTGCATGGATGGTCGTGAAAGAAAGAAGCCACTGCTGCTTAGAGATGGATTCATGAAGAGAGCTAGAAATCCTTTTTTTTTTATTTTTTTATTTTTATTTTTTATTTTTTTGTGACTCGGGCATGTAAACCGCGAGGGCCAGCGGCGCCAAAAGTAATGTTGTTTACATGCATATTGCAACTAGGATTTTCTCGAAAAGCAACCTTCGTTACTTCAAGACTGGCAGGAAGCAGACGAAGGCCCCATCCTACCAGGACGGTTCATAAAGCTGGTTGAGAGTCTTAAGATGTTCCCAAATTTGCGGAACGTGAACGTCTTGTTTGATCCGGAGTGTGCTTTGGAAGAGGAATACGATGAGCCGCCGCAATCTGTCGAATTTCGTTTCAGCACAATGAAGCTCCTTCTCTCCTCTTTGACGTCTCTTCCTCAGCCACAGTTGGCTTTGGGATTGCAAAATTACCAAAATGTCAACCCGCAGGACACCGAGACGGTGTCCATGCTCAAACAGGTTCTTGAGAACCTGCAAAGTCTGCGACTTGGTATCCTTAACGAGAGTTATGAGGGAAACGGTGAATATGACCTTGAGGTTGGTGTTCCGCGTGCCCTTTCATGACGCCCTGTCGCAAAACCACGGATTTGATTCTCCCACCTACTAGCTCCCACCCTAACCATACTTGTCCTGTCCATATACAATATGGTAGTATGACGAAGCCCATACATTCACCCGCGAACTCCCCACAGTCTGGCTCCAGCCAGCATCGGCAACACTCCGACACCTGACCCTCTACGGAACCCTGTACTTCGGCTTCTACCCCAAACTCGACCTGCGGGACATCCACTTCCCAAACCTCCAATCTCTCGCGCTCGGAAACTATGCCTTCGTCCACGACACCCAGCTGGACTGGATCCTCTCCCACGGCCCTACCCTCCAACAGCTTTACATGGACGACTGCGTCATCCTGTACGAAGTCGGCATCTACAACAAGGACAAGTGTTATCTATCACCTACAGAGATGCGGCGTAACGCCAAGGCGACGTGGCAGGGTCAGGTGAAATACCGCGCCAGTTACTCGAAGCGCTGGCACGACTATTTCCGCGCGTTTGCGGAAAGGCTGGCGGAACTTCGCCATTTTAGATTCGGTAGCAGTCCCGACTGGTGGGACGAATGGGGAATTCCCTTTGAGATGGAAGGGGAGATTAAGATGCGATTGGGGGTGGACTCGTATTTAGTTTTCTGTGATGGGTATGGGCCTAGCCCATATATGGATCGGTGGATTGTAAGTGTCAGTGATGATGATGATGCGGATTTTATTCAGTACCCTGAGTGTAAGGAAGAAGATGCGGATGCGTTGGTGGCGCTGCTGAGGAAAACCGGGCAGTCAGTTGATAGGGAGGATCTGTTTGAGTGCTAGTAGCGAGCGGGATTTAAGGGTGAAAAATGGTTTTTTTGTATATAGCATTATATATCGATATAGGATATAGTTAGATCTCTTGATATGAAGAGCAATCCAATCCAGGTTCTCGGCTTGTTGGATCCGATCCCACAGAACAGAAAGGGTCTCCCCGTGCCAAGGTTGCTCCCAGACGGACTGACACTTGAACCCGATGGAATTTAACTAATTATCCCGAGCAATCGCTCTATCAGCCCTACCCTACCTACATGTACAGACTACAACGTCTCGTGAAATAGATTTCCATAACAAAGCAGTAGAGCGTCCCAATTCCCTCAAATAACAGGCATTTTCGTTACATGGATATTAGGTCCAGTCTATACGTACCCAGACAGGCACGAAATCCGTACATAGATACTAATTAGTATGGCCCATGACGAAACGGTTCCTCAAATGGGTCCTTCGGAAAAGGGGCAGTCGTAAGGTAAGAGTGTTTCTATACAGCTTCTTCCGCTCCGCTCCTTGTCGGCGAATCTAGGCGCGCTGCACGATGTCGTCAGGGGGCGGCAGGTACAAGTACAAGCCCCGCGATAAGTTATTAGCGGCGGGGCGCCGGGGCGTAGCCACTGCACTGCACACCCACGAATCCGCAGACGACGTTGAACAGAGATGCGCAGTCCAGCCACAATGTATTATTGTTATTGTTGTTATTGATTGATTATTATTGGAAGAAGTACGGTTCTCGGGTGTTTTATGGGAGAAGGATCAATAATAATAATGTCGGTTGTCCGCATTATTACATAGGGCTGAAGAAGGGGACTGCTTCGTTGTCTGTGCTGCAGTCTAAGCGTCTCAGCCTTACAGGGCATATTGCCCAAGTTAGTATTTCTCACACAATAATCTGGACTTGGTTCAAGAAGCCATGACTTATTTGAGATTTTCAGTTTAGATACAAGTTATGCCTTCTATTAGAGTTTGTAGGATAAAAAGTTAAGTTAACGTTAACGTTACGCATTTAACTCGCGTCCCTGGCACAAATCACCTCTAGTTATCTTTTTTGGCTGAGTTTCGTAATATCGCCAGTATGTTATGACAAGAGGTTTGTTTCAAGTTCATCGTCTCACAAGCGATTGCCCGTTCAGCCTCTGTTGATACTGGGGATATGGGATATATTAATTATCATTCTTATTGTGCTTTTCGAAAGCCACTGTTGGTTGCCGCTCCTGCACACGATTGCAGATGAAACAAGAACTCGTCTTTTCAGTATTTATCAACGACTAGGAACCGAGATGAATCCGTACGGTGTAACTACTCCGTACATTCTTCAGAGGTGCCACTAAACTTTGCCTAGATTCCCGTATGGGTGGTGCATGATTGATGCAGATTCGTGTTAACTACGCTGTTACTGTTGGGTTGAGCGGTAGCTTACAAATCATCCAGGGCCTGGTTAAATATTCGTTTATGAGACGCTGCTTGAGCCACACACTCCGTCCGGATCTGAACTGCCCAGTCAAGCCCTATCAGCCGATGTCATCGATTGCTCGCCAGTGAGCCCACAGCCACAGCAAGTTGGGAATAATAACAACTTTTAACTAGCCACGGCGAATCACCAGCCGAGAAAGCCAGGAAAAACCAGCCATCGCCAAGCTGCTAGCTGGGGCGGGGTGGTCCCGCGGTCTCAGACGCTTCAGCTGTGATGGAATCGGGTTAGCAGTCATGGCCGTTTTTGCTGGCCCCCTTCGCCGCAAGTACCTAGGAAGGCGTGGATTCTGTTGCGATGGTCAGGAGTGGATGGATTGATGACCACTGCCCCGCCTTGAGTAGCGCGGTGCGCCTCCCAGATGACACCAAGGAGGAGGATCTCTGCGGTGGTATTCTATAGGGGCCGCCAGGTGTGGGCGGGGGACCTTAATAAGTAACTAGTATAAAGAGTAGGACTGTCCCTGTTCCTCTGCCCATTTCACCAACTTCTCCCATCATCCTTCCATCCACACCAAGTCCGTCTTGCCAGATATCCTTGAGATACGATACCCCGTATTAAAAATCCAACCTTTCCTCCTTTGAATACTCTCTCTCTCTCTCTCTCTCTCCCTCTCTCTTGACCATCTGCAGATAATCATCTGATCGTCCATCTTCTGATATCTCCCACGTCCCACGTCCCACCTCCAACCGCTTATACCCACCATCAACCATCATCATGTCCGGTCCCTACGATAACCAGAACCCAAACTACTACGGCCAAGGAGGCTACCCCCCTCAGCAAGGCTACGGGCAACCACAAACCGACCCGTATAACCAGGGCCAATATCCTCCCCAACAAGGCTACGGCCAGCCTGCTTATGGCCAACAGCCACCACAGCAGCAGTATGGCGGCGGTGATCAGCAGGCATACTACGGCCAACAGCAACAACCGTACGATCCCAACCAGCAAGCTTATCAACAACAACCACAATACGATCAACAAGGGTATGTCCTCACTCCCCTCCTGCCTCCCCTCCTGCCTCCCCTGTAATATATATATATATATTCAACCCCCCTTCCTTTCCTTCAGACACCAAAAAGCATATCTAACATATCCATTTCCCCCCACTATAGCGTACAACAACAACAACACCAACAAGACGGTGCTCCAGGCGGCGCTCAGCAAGGCGAGCGTGGTATAGGCGGTGCCCTGACCGGTGGGCTAGCAGGTGGCTTCATGGGCCACAAGGCCAACCACGGTATCCTTGGCACAATCGGCGGAGCGATCATAGGCAGCATTGCCGAGGACAAGCTCAAGGACAAGAAGAAGAAGAAGAAGCACGATGGGCATCACCACCATGGAAGCAGTCATCACGGCGGCAGCGGGTATGGTGGAAGCCAGTTTGGCGGCGGCGGATCCAGCTCGAACTTCCTCGGGTCTGCGGCTGGCTCGCTTTTCGGGAAGAAGTGAGGAAGCGGTGTATTTATCAGTTTAACCCCTGTGGATGCGCTTGTTTGAGAGACTGTATGTGTATGTGTGTCTGTTGACACTTGTTGCATCGCACATCCTGATGTTGGGTTTTGCTGTTTCGTTGGCGTCTTTACCTTCGCCTCTTGTGTAATTTTTTTTTTTTTTTCTTTTATTCCCTACCTTTCGTCACTTTCTTGTTCTTATTAATTGCCGTTGTTTCATGTATGGGTTTACCGGATATTACGACTGCGATAACGATTTCCATCACTCGTCTCTTTTTTTCCTATTTCGCGTGCTGAAGAATTTCAGTCGTCTTCTCAAGTGTACCCCCCTTGTGTTTCTATGAATTCGGTGTTGATTAATCACTTATCTTATGAAGATTTCATATATAAAAGTGGACCCGTTGATCGATTTGCATACATCCCGATCAAGCCCTCAAGATAATTTTTCCGTAGATCCTATCTGTTGTAAGATGAAAAATGAAAAATAAAGAAATGTTAACCCTCTTATCTCGTCGTGTTTTATATGCCATGGCTCAACCTGTGTTCCAAAAGTAGTTTAGCGTGCAGAAGTTGCTGGCCCATACAATTTCTATCTCCAAATCTCCGTTTCTAGAGGTAAATTCGCTACCCACTGCACGTCTCCCACCACATTTCCACACCATGATAATACGGCGGCTATTCGGACGGCAAAGTAGGTGCTTCGCATACCATATCTGTATTTATTATATCCGTGCTAACAATTGCTTGTCAACAGGCCTAGCTTTGCTGAGGTCTTCCTCATCCCGAACGACGGCGTGCGGCCGCTTATTCGCGACGGATTCAGACCCGACTCCTCCTCCGCCAATTACCCAGCGGACTGCTACGAGTCAGACAGGTTCTATTCCAACCACTGTGCTGGATGGAAATGCAAAATCGTCCCTGCCGGGACAGCAGACAGAGGAGAATGCCGCGCCCCGGGCTGGCCGTGGTGACCCGGTTGAAAACCCGCAAGAGATAGCTGAAGCGTCGGGATTAACAACAGCACCAGCACCAGCTACTCCCGCACATACATCATCCCCTACATCATCGTCACGGCCAACAAAGATAGCACAGCCATGTACGTTGCAAACCCTATCCTCAATCTTAACTACAATCCCGGTTTTTTTTTTTTAAATTTTTTTTTAAACTAACCCAAGCCACGCCCCCTCAAAAGCGCCCGAAAAATTCCATAAACTCGGCTCCGTCCTCAAAGACCTCTACAGACCAGAAAGTCTAATCGCAAACCCCCCCCGCGTCGAAGACATAACCCTCGAACTCCTCCTCGCCTCGCAAACCCACCTCGGCCACGCCACCTCCCTCTGGAACCCAGCGAACGCAGAATACATCTTCGGCATCCGGCAGGGCGTGCACATCATCTCCCTAGACGTGACAGCCGCCTACCTGCGGCGGGCCGCCAAGGTCGTCCGCGAAGTCGCCCGGCACGGCGGGCTGATCCTCTTCGTCGGCACGCGCAAGGGCCAGCGCCGCATTGTCGTCAGCGCCGCCGAGCGCGCCAAGGGCTGCCACGTCTTCCAGCGCTGGGATCCCCGGCAGCCTGACGAACAGCGAGCAGATCCTGGGCCACTGCGAGAAGCAGGTGGTCAATGCCTTTTGACGAGGCCGCTGCCGGGGCTACGAGCGCAGCTGGAGCAGCTGCCCCGCGCCTCAAGCCCGGATCTGGTCGTGTGTTTGAATCCGCTGG